GTGCAGGAGGCAACCAATCAATGTGTTTCTCTCACATCGATGTTTCTCTCTGTCTTTCCCTATCTCTTCCACTCTCTCTAAAAAATCAATGGAAAAATACCTCGGGTGAGGATTAACAAAAAAAATTAAAAGTCTCTCTTTTAAAAAAATAACCATAAGTGTGAAATACAGGGAAGGAAGAGCACGCTGTCAGAAAAGTCTCCAGCGACACGTTGGCTTGGGGGAGGGTCAGGTCGGAATTGTGTTTTAAGGGCCCGGCACGGTTTCATGAGCTTGCTCAGCACTCCTGGATCAGACTGTGATGGCGATAAATACATGCTGCTGGTTAGGCTTATAACCATAGGGTGGGTGGGGGCGGCAGGGCCGGGGTCCTTGTTAGTGTGCTTAGTGCTGGTGAGAAGGCTGGGCCCCGCCTCGGACGCTGAAGTCCTCTAGACGGAGCAGGCAGCAAGCCGTGTCCCCCGTCACCTTCTGCTGAATAAGGGGGACGAGCCGGTCTCGGCTGTTGGCTCGCTCTAGTCCACGCGCAGGCGACCCGGGCCGAGCCGGAGGGAGGATCGGATGCCTTGGGAGTGTTGGGTGAGCCCACGTCTGACAGTCAGACAGGAGCAAGTGTCGTCCCTTCTGGGCTGACCCGCAGGGCCACCCCACGTGTGACCCGGCTGCAGCCTTCAGCCCCACGGTGGGCCGTGGTCAGGGGTTTAGGCATAGCCGCCAGCCATCTGACTGGTGGCCGCATTGCTGCCGACTCCTCGCCAGGCCTGGAAGCTGAAGAAAGCGCTCAGTCCGTAGGCGATCATCACTAAGCACGAGAAGAACTGAAAGAGGAGAGGAGACACCCGGCTGAGTCGTCTGCAGCGCGGCTCGGGGGAGGGGGTGGTGACAGTGACGCTCGCAGGAAGTGGGCAGCCTGGGGCAGGCACAGTGGGACCTAGGGCTCCTCCATGACCCCGGGCCAGTTGCTCTGGCAGCCACACCCTCTCCTCAGCCGCACACTCATCGAACATCTAATTGTTGGGGCTGATGCTGCTGACATTACATTCCAGTGGGGGGAACCCTTAACCACGCAGACAGGTATGTGATAGGCAGCTGGACAACACGCTGACAAGCGTGATGAGGGGCAGGAGCTACTTTAGACACGAGGGATTTCGTTTTTAAAAGGCAACATTCCAAAGCTACCCTAGGAATCTTCTGGAATCCGTTCGTGGGAGAGCCTGTGAATCCCCCCAAGTGGTCTAAACCAAAAGGTCTTTGCATGTGCCCTTTGCAAGGTAAGGATGGGGGGCAGAGT